GCCTGAAAACTACAATAACTGGAATAAAACCCTGGTAATATTCAGACACACAGAAAGTTAAATGTAAACACCACTGCTGTGATCTGGACAGGGAAGTAGAAGCTGAAGCAGATATTTCACTCTTAATTTGCTGCCATTCAGGGGTCCTGTTGACAGGAGATGGAGCCCGTCTCAGCGGAAGAGACACAAGGTTAGGAATTTAGTAGGGCTGGATCCTATTCCTCCTTCCGCTGCTGCTCTACTGTCTAATCCTGGGCAAGTACATCACCTCCGGGCATCTGGTTCCCCTCCCTCCCTGACACATCTATTTAAACCGCAAATTCAGAGCGGTGGCAACCATCTTGGTAATGATGAAGCACATACAACACAAAGCACTAGTATTTCTATTAATACTCCCACTACTCTTAATTAAGGAAACAGAAAATGTGACAGAAATTGAGCAGTCAGTGATGCATTATATTAGTTTAGAGGTATTTGGGTATAAAATGTGAAAGGCAAGCTCTCCCAAGTGGTGGCAGCCAGAGGACACCTATGTTGTTTTCCCGCATATTCAGGCAATCCAATTAGACATAATTAAGTTTTTAACTACATGAAATTACTTCAAGAATACCATCACTAGAGGCTAAGACTCCTGGGAGGCTGGGGGAAGGAGCAAGAAACATTATAAAACTGGAAGGAACAGGAAATGGACAGGGCATGCAGCTTGAAATATGCTGAAGAGAGCATGCAGCTGAGCCCAGCTAAGGCATTCATGTTTGTAAAAAACATGTAAATAGCTGGGCCACAGTCTCAAAGGTTTGCATGTTCCCAGTTCAATGAATTAAAGTTAAATACATCAACACTTGTAAGTTTTTCTTAACCGCAATGGTGATGTGAAGATCTACAAGCAGCAAAAGGCTTCAACAGTCCTGTAAATACCAGAAACATTAAAAATCCTAAATTACTGTAATGAAATTAATTACTGTTACATTTGCAAACTGCCATTCGTTTGCAATGTATATGAGCACCTCTTTTAGACATTAAAATTACCTTCACATTAAAGCTGCCTCACAATCTGAAATGGTCACTCCATTCACCAAGAACCAGAAGAGTTCTATTGCCAGACCTTAGATTTGGTTTGTACACCCTGATAAGCCCTAGAAATACTAGAAATATCATGCATCTCCAACAAGGTTTGCTCTTTTTGAAAGCTACTAAAATCTAAGGTACAAGCATTGACAGAAAATAGTATTTTTAGCACTACTGCAACAACTGTTCGCACAACTGCAGCAACTATTGCTGCAGTTTCCTTTGTAGCTTTACACTGATTTGAGATTAGCTTTCGTAATTGTTTTAAACATTCAGATATGCTCAAAGCATAGTTCTCATTAAGATGAGCACAATAAACAGAAAACTCTGAAACACTTTCTCCCACCACTTACAGAGGCAAATCAAATTGATTAGGAAGGCACGCTTCATGCACAAAAGTTACAACTTACTGAAATAGAATTCACAAGTTAATAAGCAAACTGTGAAGGAAAAACAGCTTCCACTTGAAAGGAAAAATGAACAAACAAAAAAACCCAAAACAAAGGGAAAAGTGAAGGACACCCTATTCCCATGAGCTAATTGTCTGTCTTGTGCTATAGGGGATGCTCTTGCTTAGCTTACAAGTGAAAGACACTGCCTCCTCACCGTGCAAGCATAGGAACTGCACAACGCTATTATGACACCTTAAATGAGCAAACTTCCTTGAGCATTCCCCAGGAGACTAGAATGGGCATGCCTCAGCTCAGACACTGAGAAGCATGTCTGATTATCAGTCAGGCTGAAGAACATCTTTGACCAAAACCATCCCAAGAAAAACACTCATGTTCAGGCTGAGAAAAAAAAACCATGGATTGACACAACTGGCATATTTTTATAGCCTTTGTGTAAACACAAGCTTTGGGTTAGCCAGCATCTCAGCTGGCTCTATCTGGATTCCCTTCTTTTGAAACAAAATTAAGGAAAATACTTCTCAGAAAAGGTCAGTGGCCAAACTATTAGGAAAAAATAAAAGTACAGAGGAAGAACATACATAGTGATTCATTAAACGCGTGCTGTCAAAACTGTAACAGTGAGCACAAAGCAGACTTTTCACAGGAACTATAGTTAATTTGCAGAACTCAAGCCAAACTGAGCATTAATTAGAACTGTATTTTTAAAGAAGTTTTTGGTACTCCCCATGGCTTAGACAGGAACGAAGCTAAAGCAACTATAGAGAGTTGTTTCCTTGAAGGGCAGTGCAGCAACAGCTCTACACATTTCAAGTGTACACCTATGCAAAAGAAATGGACTGAGCATCTCAAGATTTTAGAAAAACACTTGAGCCAGAAAATAAGCATGTCATAAGGTGCCCAGGTGGGAACTCACTTTATACTGTCACTGGAATACACTGCCAGGGATCATCAACCACAGCAAATCACATACAGTAAGCAGTAGTGCTTTTTACAAAACAAACTCTTCTGAGTCAAGCAATTTGCATTTGACTACAGTAACTTTCCAAGGAACATCCCAGTCCTAAACCTGAAAATATCAGACATTTCACTGAATTCCACAGTCAATTTGGACAGCGCAGCCAATTAACCAGTGGAATATTGTGAACTTTAGGTCTTATTTGTTCCTTCAGTATCCTTGATCCTACGTGTTCAATTAAGGTTACTGATTTCTTGCTACAGTTACTGTTGCACTGTAATTACAATTGATTTGGTATGTTCTGTGTTAAGGAGGTATTTACTGAAATTGATTGACTCAATTTACAGTATGATATGACTCATTCTATGATTCTATGATCTTAACTTTCTCTTAAACAAGAGGGCGAACACAGTACAAAGCATATCTTTCTGCCTTTGAACGGATTTTTGTAGCTCCTCTTTGCATTCTGATTTTTGTATTCAAAAATACAGTCAGCAGAACTCTCTAGTCCATCAGTCTTCCCAATACTGCATCCAAAAGGAAAAGTCCTATTTTATTGCTGCACTATTCACATACCCAAGGCCCCCACATTCACATGCTGTGGCTAAGGACAGAACTGGTTAAGTTGCTTAGCTAAACTTCCAAATCCTCTTCACAGAGCCTGTTATTTACTCTTCTATTTATAATTTTGCATTTAGTCATATTAAAACACATTTCATTCAAATGAGGCCAACTTGTCAGAGCAGCCCTGTAAACTGCCAACTTATGTGTCATCCACAGAAATTCCACATCTGCTTCAAAACACTGAACTGCATCCTAGCAGAACACCCACAGAAATATTCCCATGCTGTGGCAACAAACAACTACTTCAGAAATTACAAGTTAGCCACTTAATTTATTTTGCCGAATCTCAATATTGTTATTATTGTGTAACATAATTTCTATGTAATTCTAAAAAACAATGTCATGTAATAACTAAATCAAGCACTCTATGAAGAAAATATGGAAATGTTCACCTTTCTCAAAACCTGTGATTTTATCAGTGTAAAGTCTGCTTGATGTAATCCATTTTCCATCAACAGTAGTAACTAACATCAAACATACCTATACTTAACTTTATTGTTAACTGTACTTACTCTTTTTTATTATTAGTTCTTTTTTTAATCTAGGACTGAGGTCAGTCAGGGTGGGGGTTTTTTTGTTAGTCTGGGACTTAAATTAAATTAGGCATCTACTCACACTTTCTGAACACTGATAAAATAACAATCAGTTACCTGGAATATCCCCTATTATTCCAAACTTTAAAAATTAAATGTCATGATCTAGAAATCTCCTTATCCAAGTCTTTCACCATTCCTGGATGAAGTTTATTTAGGGCTACAGATCTGAAATTACTGTTAACGCATACTGCATTTAACATCCATTTGCAGATACATTAGAAAGTCCTTCTATTATCCTCATCATATAGTATATGCTAATCTTCTTCTTCCCAGAAGAAAGGCCAACAGCTTTAAGAAATTCTGACAATATATTTAAACAGCAAGAAAAAGTACAGGCATTCAGTTAGAATTGTTTTAAACAGAACAACAAACCTTTCTGCCCACTAGCTTTTCTACATGAACAGAAAATCCCCCAGACTCTCACATTTTAAAAGCAAAAGGACGAAGATACAGTTTTTTACTACAGGAAAACAAGAAAATAATCTGCACAACTTTGCAAAACCTGGAACTACTGGGGGGGGGGTAGAGGAGGGAATGGGGGGAAAGCTGCAAGCACTTTTACATTGTGAACTCTTTTGGGGATAATGAACCCAGCACAGACATCTGTGACAAAATAAATTGATTAACTGATGGAAGGCTAATTTGATGCAAGGGCTTTTGCTTTGCTGACTTTTTGGTTTGTTGAGGAAGGCGAATATTGTTGGTTATTTTCAAGACATCATTTACCACTACAATTCTAGAATACAAAGTCTAAAAAAACCGCAGAGATTTAAAACAAAACAGCAAACCAGTGAAGTGCAAAAGAGACCAGTAATTCACACTCACATCCCCCATTACCCCCAAACTTTACATTTCCACAGCCAGGCTGATGTGTACTTGTACCATGTCATGATAAAGAACAGGAATGCTGACAAATCTTTAGCTGCCACCACAGGACTAACAAATACTTGTCGATTCCTGGAATCTAATAACAATGAAAACAGCATCCTTAACCATTTGGCATTATTTTTTAAGTTGCCTGTCTCATCACACATTATTCCAGTGCTTAAAGTAAATCTCAATAAAGTGCAGCCTGTCCTGGAACTTCCAGAATTTTAGCTTGCAGGGATAGAGATAAAGCTTGCTTTTTGGTAACTATGCAATGAAAAGATTTCATATATTCTAACTAGCAGAATGATTAAATTTTTCAATTAATTCATAATTACATACTTAATTGAAAGAGAAGAGTCTTTCATATAATATGCAACTTAGGTTTAAGGAACCTCTAAATTTCATATAAGGAAATCCTCAGTCTTTTGAAAAGCATTTAAAAAATAAATAAACACAAAAACAAGCAAGACTTACCATTTTGATCCCAGTGGAAAACGTGACTGGTCTGACCTGGTTGGGTTTTTCGACTTGCATTTCTAGCTGAGTAGATCTGTCCTTATGCTGAGCTAAAAGCAATGAAGCAGGAAGACTGGACTTCTCCTGTAAAGATGAGGAACAAATTTTGAATGCTAAACCCCAAAACTCTTAATTAACACTGCATATTTTTCAAAACTGAAAGCTGTGCCTGAAAGGCCATCACCAGCAGAGCAGCATAATGCAAAGTATCCTCTCTATGAGTAACAGTTTACAGAAAACAATCATTTTCAGTAATAAGAAAAAGCTGCAGAAACCCCATAAATAAGTGTAACCTGCAAACAACCATTTTTATAGAATCCACATTAAAGACAATATAACAGGCTCCTTATTTCAACTGGCCAATGTAAGTATATTTATTAAAATAAAATTTAAAAAATTAGAACTTAATCAGAGAAGGAATAATACCAAGTATTATAACTCGGATCAGATGTTTATCTAAGACACATTCTTTACACCAATGAACTCAGACCAGTTTGAAATTGTTTCCCACTAGATTTCACCTGAGGCCGTTTGGAAACGATCCTTGCTCTGCTTTGCACAATGGCACTATTGTAAGTGCAACCAACAGCATATTTATTTCTCCTTCACCAACTTATTTTTAGGGAAGCCAGCCAATTTTTTATATATATATATATATATATATATATATATATATATATATAAAGTAGTAAAATGAATAGTTGAGCAAGTGAACTACTTCAGCTCTCAGAACAGATTATTAACATACATATATGCATGCAACTGCGCTCTCGAGAGAATCAGAAGACTACCTGCCAAATAATTTTCTAATGAATTCATGCAATTATACACACACACCCTGAAAGGCCTGAGACTTGCTAGCTAGAATGACCCTAGAGTTGAGAAAAGGGAAGAAGTTCAGATGGATTCTTCCTGGACTGCTCTAGAGCAGTACTTTATTCCTAAGGCCTCAAATGTCACATAGACTTCTATTTCATGGAACCAAGCTAATATTAAACTATCAACAATATTTGTTTCTCATAAAATAAAACAGGCTTTAATAAACTGGGCTGTGATTGTCATTTACTCATTTCAGGGTAAGAAGATGGAAGTTTTTAATGCTGCAGGATGCCTTGGTGTTGACAGTAGCCTACAGAAATCTTAAGTGATCATGGAAAACAGTCATGTTGCACACTGACTTTTCACATAACTCTCCAGCCCTCTTTTCCTCTCAATTTTTTGTGACATTCCCTTTGTCTTATGGCTAAATTGCAAGTGCTAAAAGCAAAAAAATCTCATGCGACAAGATATGGTCCAGAGTCACAAATACAACAATATGGCACAGGATCCTACTCACATTTCTGTGATTAACTGGGAGATGAAGAAGGAAGAGGTTAAAAGCTTAAACTGTAGTAATGAGATATCTAATTTTCTTATAACTAGAGAAAATTTGGACCACAAATGCACTAGTTTACAGTCTTCAGCCTCAAAGTGTTGTACATGTCTAATCACCATGCAGAAGCATGTGCTGCTAGCTGTCACCAGAGTTTAAGGATGCTGGATTCTTTTAATCATCAGTTTTAATATCCTGGGAAAGAAGTGAAGAGTGGGAAGCCTTCTCTGGTTCATTCTGCCCTCTCATATTCCTTAAATGTTCACTGCACTTCCAGTACAATAACTAAAGGAAATTTTCTACCAACTAAAGAGTTCACACAATGACCAGTAAACAGATTACACAACTGTGGGAAACCTGCACCATGCCAACAAGCCACCACATACGTCATTGTTTGTCCTTTCAAATACGCAGATAACCCTTCTGTTAACTATTAACACACATGAAAGGTCCAATCCTTTAAGAATTTATCCAAACTAGCAATTCTTTATATGGGAAAATAAACTAACAGTATGAACAAAGCTAGTTATATGCAAAAAAAATCTGAAAGATTTCTCTCAAAACTTCTGAGGTTCTGCTAAAAGTAGACACTTTATATCTTTAAAGCACCTTACTTATCACTTGACTCCAAGATATACCCCAGCCAAAGAAAAACCTGACTCTTTGCCATGAGCATCAACGCCATTTTGGTAGTGCCTGGGAAGTAAGGGCTCTTGAAGAGGAGAGTGCAAGTCCCACAACACAGAAGATATCTAAGAGCAGATCCTTAATCCTCTGTACACAGGTGAGAGAGTTTATACAGTAAATAAAGGAAGTGCTTTAATATTTTGCTCAGCCCTGATTAACCAAGTGGAAGGTTAAAAAACACACAACCACCCAAAACAAAATACACACACAACTCTCCCAATAATATGCAAAATTGCATTTGAGACTACAAGTCTAAATTACAAGATTTGCTTTTAAAGTGAGAGGGTTTATTGTAAAAGAAGTCACTTACAGTGAAGGTAGTATAATATCTGCCTAATTTATTACCAGGAGACAAACCAACTAACAGCCTAGGCAAAGCACCTGATTGCTCTTCCAGTAGCCTGCAGAGCCCAAGCCATCAGCAATGCCTTGCTCAGGTCTCCAGCAAGTGACACTGGCCTCCCCCTCCCTGCTCCCCACTGAGGACAGGCTCATGAAGCCTTGGCCCAAGGTCCATCCTTTCTGCACAAGCCACAGCTCTCCACAGGCTGGTCAAGAACCAGAGCCTGCTGCACAGCATTTTAAATACCAAATGTTTCTGTGTCCTTTTCCCTGCCTCTGGACTATCTAAATTTTAAGATTTTTGAAGACAGGATGATATTGTCAGACACTTTTATAAAATACTAAGACCTTTACACAATACGATAATACTATAAATAACACATATGAGAAACTGTAAATCTCCTCACTCATTAGGATTTAATGACTGAAAGTGAAATTCTCTTCTTGGAAAACACATTCAGCCTTCTCACTCCCAACACTGAGGTCAAGGGAGTCAATGCACTCCCTGATAAACGGTGCAACCCCACCACCTGTTTTTCCCTGCCTATCCCTTCTGAAGAGCCTGAAACCATCCACTGCAGTACTCCAATCATACAAATCATTCCACCACATTTCTGTGATGGCAATTATGTCATGAATTCCCTGCTGCACCACGGCTTCCAGCTCCTGTTTGTTGCTGCAGGCATTGTCACAGATGCACTTAAGTTGCCATGTGGATCTGGCCTCCAACACTGACATTCTACCCCGGCTCATTTCTAGCAAGATGCGAGAATCTTCTGGTGAAGACCTTTACCCTACCCAGGGAGACAGGAGATTCCTCTGTGAGTCTGGTCAGGTCCATTTATCAGACCCTCTGCTCCCCTTAGGATGGAGTCACCAAACGCAACCACTCTTCTTTTTTTCCTACTAGAGTTGGTCGTGATATGATGTGGTGACTCTTCTAGCCTGTATGATCACTTATCTACTTCATCATCTTCCTCACTTTCTCAACTCTCAGAAAAGTAGCAGGGTCTCGAATCTTATAGGGGGGTACTTGGGAAGGTGACATAAGCTGGAGGGTAATACACCATCTACTCTGAGGAGTAACATGCTCCCAACTGCAAACGTAAGGGATCCTTAATTTCTTTCGTTTTGGGTGGCTGGGTTGCTTCTTTCAGGGATGGTAGAGTACAGCTCCACCAATCTCCCCCTCAGATTCCCTTATGCTCCTCAGCCATTTCACCTCTTCTTGTAGCCATACCACCATGCAAAGCAAATCACCGTGGTCACACCTTGCACAGCTACCATCCAACACCACTGACAGGCTCTGGCCCTCACTACAGACACCTGGATGGAATCACAGAATAGTTACGGATGGAAACAACCTTCAGATCACCTAGTTCCAAGCTCCCTGCCATGGGCAGGGACACCTCACAATGAACCATGACACCGCAGGTTCTGTCCAACCTGGCCTTGAAAACCGCCAGGGAAGGAGCATTCAAACTTCCTTGGGCAACCCATTCCAGTGCCTCACCACACTAACAGGAAAGAATTTCTTCCTTATATCCAATCTAAACTTCCCCTGTTTAAGTTTGAACCCATTACCCCTTGTCCTGTCACTACAGTCTCTAATGAACAGTGCCTACCCAGCATCCCTATAGGCACCCATCAGATACTGGAAGGTTGCTATGAGGTCTCCACACAGCCTTCTCTTCTCCAGGCTGAACAGCCCCAACTTTCTCAGCCTGTCTTCATACAGGAGGTGCTCCAGTCCCCTGATCATCCTCGTGGTCCTCCTCTGGACTTGTTCCAACAGTTCCATGTCCTTTTGATGTTGAGGACACCAGAACTGCACACAATACTCCAGGTGAGGTCTCCCAAGAGCAGAGTAGAGGGGCAGAATCACCTCCTTCGACCTGCTGGTCACGCTCCTTTTGATGCAGCTCAGGATACGGTTGGCTTTCTGGGCTGCAAGCGCACACTGAAGCCAGCTCATGTTCATTTTCTCATCAACCAACACCCCCAAGTCCTTCTCTGCAGGGCTGCTCTGAATCTCTTCTCTGCCCAACCTGTAGCTGTGCCTGGGATTGCTCCCACCCAGGTGTAGGACCTTGCACTTGGCATGGGGTTCATGAGGTTGGCAGCAGCCCACCTCACAAGCGTGTCAAGGTCCCTCTGGATGGCATTCCTTCCCTCCAGGGTATCAACTGAACCACACAGCTTGGTGTCATCGGCAAACTTGCTGAGGGCGCACTCAATCCCACTGTCCATGTCAGTGACAAAGATGTTGAACAAGACCGGTCCCAACACCGATCCCTCAGGGACGCCACTCGTTACTGGTCTCCAGCTGGACATTGAGCCATTGACCACAACTCTTTGTGTGCGGCCATCCAGCCAGTTCTTTATCCACCAACTGGTCCATCGATCAAATTGATGTCTCTCCAATTTAGAGACAAGGATGTCGTGTGGGACAGTGTCGAACGCTTTGCACAAGTCCAGGTAGATGACATCAACTGCTCTACCCCTGTCCATCAGGTCTGTAGCCCCATCATAGAAGGCCACCAAATTGGTCAGGCAGGATTTCCCCTTAGTGAAGCCATGCTGGCTGTCACCAAGCACCTTGTTGTTTTACATGTGCCTTAGCATGCCTTCCAGGAGAATCTGCTCCAAGATTTTGCCAGGCACAGGGGTGAGACTGACTGGTCTGTAATTCCCCGGGTCATCCATTTTCCCCTTCTTGAAAATGGGGGTTATATTTCCCTTTTTCCAGTCGTCGGGAACTTCACCTGACTACCATGATTTCTTAAATATGATGGACAGCAGCTTAGCAACTTCATTTGCCAGCTCCTTCAGGACCCGCAGATGGATTTCATCAGGTCCCATGGACTTGTGCACATTCAGATTTTTAAGATGGTCTCGAACCAGATCCTCTCCTGCAGTGAGCCCAAGGTCTTCATTCTCACAGTCCCTGTGTCTGCCTTGGGTGGTGCAGTCAGAGCATTTGCCAGTGAAGACTGAGGTAAAGAAGTCGTTAAGAACCTCAGCCTTCTCCAAATCCAGGGTACCCAGTTCTCCCGATAGCTTCCTGAGGGGGCCTACATTCTCCCTAGTCTGTTTTTTATTTGCTATGTACCTGTAGAAACCCTTCCTGTTATCCTTAACATCCCTAGCCAAGTTTAATTCCAACTGGGCCTTAGCTTTTCTAACCCGTTCCCTATCTTCAGAAGTTTTGAGGGACCTCTGTTCGGGTCACCACGTCCTTTCTGGCCAGCACAGAGGACTTTGTTTTCTTTGCGTTCTGCCGAGACGATGCCATCCTAGAGCACCGTCTCAATGACTGCTGGCTGAGTTCACCTTTGAAGCCTGACAGGCTACCGGGCCCTTCCTGCTCACCCTAGCCATGCAAACTGCTGTGCCATGCCCTGACTGCCTGCTCTGTTCACCATGCTCCCAGGACAGTGTTTTGTCTGCTTAGGGGTGGTGGTCACCACTCCTGGCACTGCCAGCTATGAGTCTACTGCTCAGTCAGCAGTGCTGCCAGCTCCTGAGCAAGGCCTGACAAGGGCTTGGGGCTCCCTTGGTGGCTCTGGCCATTCAGAATCAAGACTGCTGGAAGCTGCAATTTCCCCATGCTCCGGTGCTGAAGGTGTCCTTCTCCAGAGCTACTCACCTCATCAAATCAAAAGAACCTAATCCTTGTTGGTTTAGCACGGTACTGACCATAGATACAAGATTTTTTACTCTTTTTAACTGTAATTCTTTACACTGCTACTACTTATGCTTGGGTTTAGCTGCATTTCTCAATAAAGTTTTACTTATGATTAGCTTCAGATTTGCAGCACAGCATTAGAGCGATTCAGAGACCATAAGAAATGTTTATTTGTCTAACAAATGTTTTTCCTGAAACTTTGTAAGTCATTATACAAACACTTCAGTGTTGGCTTTATGAACGTTTAATACTACAAAACAAGTCTCAGGTCAAATTTAAGTTGACAGTGCCCCTTGATAAACAGAAACAACTGAAAAATACCTGGCTTCCTTCCTCAGCCTTTAAAAATCACCTTTCTGGGTTTTTTTGTGAATACTAAGACATGCTTTGATAGCAATACATGTGCAATCACAGTTAAAACTACCAAACAACCTATTTTGGTTATGTTTTAGGGATTACTTATAACCATTCTTTCCACAAGCCATCTGGAGAAGTAGGTTTCCAGTAAAACCAACTGCTGTGTAAAGTAAATAACAAAAGAAAAAAAACCAACACCACCACTGGTCTCCAGTAGTAAGTTAGGAATGTATTTGAGAACAGGATTGAAATAAGTCAAAAACGAGTTCAAAACCCCCGTTCTGAGCTACTGAATTCAAGCTCATAGTGGAGTTTTTATTCATTGATCCACTACTCAAATTATTTGTAATAGCATGGACTATAAGCACGTTCAGCTTTAAAGTGAAAAGAGACTGTTGGATGCAAAGTTACAGACTCGAAGGATCTTCAAAGAATCTTTCTGCTCATCCCTGCTTTTGTCTACCAAAAAAAAAATAAATAAATAAACACCAGCTCCTTTCAGCAAAACCAATGACAGGTTGCCAGGACTCCTGGTTTAGAAAAAGGCAGCTCTTCAGGAGGCCCTGAAACACCTAAATTGCAGATTGGTGCTCTCTCTTCACGTCAGCACCTCCTGCACTGGTTCAAAGATGAACTCTACTTTTCCAGGAAAAATAGAAAAGCATCTGTATCTTGAATATGAACTGAGAACACAAAACAGGAATTAACACTATATAAATGTGAGATAAACTGAAATACGAAAAATTCACATTGACATAGCTGCACACATGTACCAACTTAGTATCTCCCTTAGCGCCCTCACAAACTGCATGACCAGCCATGCGCCAAAGCAGATGCAATTGTCATCAGCTGAAAGCAAATGAAGCAGGCAGTTCCATGGCCTCAGACGTGACAGAACCTCACACCTCAGCTATCAGGTTCAACTTGGAGTAGTCACGATATCAGCTATGCTAATGCAAGTCATCCTTGATCACAGTCAAAGTCTATGACTTTCATATTATCAATGAATTAAATAGAAATCTAGACTTCTATACCAGCTTTTCTTCTGATATGCAGTCAAATGTCAACTAATATACAAACTGCTAGAGTGGCTGGACACATGAAAGCTGTTTCTGAAATACACCTTCACAAGCGAATTAGCAACAGAAAAAGAGGTTTCAGTGGAACTCACTTGGAAAAAGAACACACACACACACCCCCCCCCCCCCCCAAAAAAGACACCACCCACAAAAATCAAAACATGTAGAAGCAGGAAAACAGCCTTCTTCAAATACCAAAAGAAAGTCTTCATTTTTCTTTGCTAGAATATTATCTAGGATAAATTTTGCATTGAAACAGCCAAGAAGTTCTCCTAGAATTAATTTCTAACCAGAACTAGACATTCTGGACAATGAGCCCAATTAAGTCTATGAATCCCAGAAGCACGCTTCCTCTAGTCCTTAGCTTAACAAAACCAGAATTGTTTGCAATATTGAAATGAATAGTAAGTGAGAGAACAGTAGCACAAAACATGCAAGACAGGGAAACAAAGAAGCAGGTGTGTTAATGCCGCAGACTTAACCATAGTGGAGATTAATGTCAATGTAATTGCTATTTGCTCTGCTACTGAGCATTCAAAGCCTCTGGTTTTGTTACTCACCAGATCATCCAAGAGTGCCTGCTTATTCTTCCTTTTCAGGATCTGCTGTATTTGTTCTTCTTTCTGTATGAGCAGTCGCCTTCGCTCACTTTCCTGTCGCTCTGCCTCTAACGCTTCTTCCAACTCTTCCTGCTCCCGCGTCTGAAATATAAATTAGATGATTGTGGATAATACTTCCACCTCCTCTTACCGTCCAATGCAAAGTTACCCTTGCTGCTCTCTGCAGTTAGATGTAATCATCTGTGTCTTGGTTCTTTATATAGCAGAGGATGACAATGGGCCTTTGTGATACATTCACTCTAGAATGAACCCCTCTCTGCTTCCACACATCCTACTTCTCATGTGATGCAAGTCGGGTGACTGAAAATGTAACCCCACAATACCTGATTGCCATCCCTCCCACCAGATGCACCTTCTGTGCAAACAACACTGTGTGCTTATCAGTAGTGTAGGAGGAAAATGAGCAATTACAAAGCTGTGAATATTAACAGAAAAGCTTAAAAGCTATAACATATTTAAGCGTGAACTTTAAAAATGTAACATTCCCAGAAAACAAGGAACTTTTCCTATCATCTGGATTATAGTCATGTGACACAAGATGAAAAATAAGAGATTACTAGGACAAAGTGACTAGTTTTTGCTTCAGGATTTATTTCTTGAGAAGCTTTATTTAACCTTCTTAATAATCTGTATTTGAAAATCCCAGTGAAGGAAAAGAAAGAAAAAAAGAAGGGGGTTCAGAGATAGGAAAATGAAAGGATTAAACCATTTATATGGAAGAGGAAATCAAAAGAATGTCAGTTTGGTTGTAAGAGGTACAGGACAAAATATACAGTCAACATTGTCCAAATCTTCCCCACAAAAAAAATACTAAAGCAAAAGGAGATTCAGTAAAAATGCAGAGATAATTAAAACTGCATACAACTTAAAAAGATGATTTATTGATAGGAGCCATTTCAGCAAAACATCATTTCAGCCAAGAGCTTGGTAACACCTGTTCTTACAAAGTTGTAACATAAAGTATAGTTAAGTGATAGAGGCCAGAATATGCTGAAAAGCACCCTTTCACCAGGCAGATCAAGCCAATGGGTCCCAGTGAGGCCCAGTTACTCCTGGATGCAAGAGCTGTCAGACCTCACCACCTGCCACCAAGCCAGCAAAAGGTGCTTTCATTTTATAACTATAACTAACTATAGAAGTGACACTGGAAAAGAGCTGGTCACCAACAAGTGACCACCTGAAACTGGATTCTCTTTGCATTTAATGAAAGGAAACGAGCAAACAAGAAAATCCCCAAGTTGCTGACTGAGGTTATTTCTGAGAATTACAGGATTTAGTTAGTTCAGTCAACAGAATTGAAGAGCTTAGGGTCTTGAAGACATTCCAAGCCTCTTCCACATTTACATCTAAAGACTGCCTGGAATTTGCACTGAAACAGAAGAAAGCTGGTAGGAAAGTGCTCAAAGACATAGTCTGAAGAACCAGACCAAAAAAAGTTATAGTCAGAAATAAGTAAACTGATGTAGAAACCTAAATCAGATCAGACTACAGGAAAGGAAGAACTATCGCATGTCAGATCAAATTCCTTCTGGAAAGAAAGACCAAACAAAACATTAAAACAGAATGGAGAGAAGTTCAATGGGCAGTGATGGTTGTGTCAACATTGAAGATAACCTAGACACAGTCTCAATATCTAAGGAAAAAGACCAACATGGTGAAGCCTGAAGTAAACTCAAGATGACAAGTGCAAGAAGTAAATAGAAAACATAATAATGTTTCACCACATTCAAGAAAGGACAGTCAAGAAAAACACTCATCACAGAGTTCAGACAAAACTATTTCAAGACTGAACAAAGCAGCAAGTGCAATTAAACATCTAGTGACAAAGCAGGAAGTAACAAGCATATGTCTCATGACTGGAGAACAGCAGATATTGAAGGAAGAAGGCACATTTGGGAAAACTGTAGTCCACTCAGAGCGCAAGACTCTATACATGCAGATAAGTAGAATTTATAATTGTCCTGGTTTTGGCTGGGACAGAGTTAATTTTCTTCCTAGTAGCTGGTGCAGTGCTGTGTTTTGGCTTTAGTATGCAAACAGTGCTGATAACACACCAATGTTTTAGCTGTTGCTAAGTAATGCTTACCCTGATGATCAAGGACTTTTCAGTCTCTTATGCCCTGCCAGTGAGGAGAAGCACAAGAAGCAAGGAAGGAGTAGAGAAAGGACACCCCACGCAAACTAGTCAAAGGGGTATTCCATACCACAGCACGGCATGCCCAGTATATAAACTGGGGGGAGTCACCCAGGACAGCAGATCACTACTCGGGTCAGGCTGGTGGTAATCATATTGTGCACCACTGCTGGATTGGGGTTTTTTTCCTTTCTCCTTTTAGTTTTATATTCTCTCCCCTTGTTATTTTCCTTATCATTATTAGTAGTAGTATATTATACTTTATTTTAGTTATTAAACTCTTCTTATTTCAATCTATGGGGTTTACATTCTTTTGATTTGCCTCCCCATCCAACCCCAGGAGAGGGGAAGAAGTGGGTGAGCATGTGGCTGCATGGTACTTATTCATCAAGTGGGGTTAAACCACAACAATCATATATAAAAATCAATTTATAACAAGAACCCCTCCTCCACAAGTTCTTCACTTTTTCATCCAAACCTATCTGTTTAAAATTTTTCTCCACATGGTTCTGCATTAAATCTACAGATCTAACAGACGAGTTAGTACACAAGTAGCAAGGGTATTAGGAACTGGCTACAGAGCTGACAGAAGAACAAGCAGTCACTTAAATCCTGAGGTGGCTGGTTCAGTAACTTCATATTTTGATTTTTAAGAAACGATGACATACTCATGGGGAAAGAAGTAGCAGAAGTAAGATCAAAATAATTTACAAGGCCATAGATTTTTGGAGACATTAATTCATCAGTTCAAAACCAATGAGGAAAAACCCTGATGCACTACTTGACCATTACCGATTTTTAACCTCCTGTAAGAGTGCTACGAGTCTTGGGATCATGTCAACATATTTCCAGTAAAGATGGGAAAACTGTTCTTTTGCAAGAGGCTGTTATGATCTTAGCTACAATACTACTTTCAGTTCTGGTCCCTTCCACTTGCCAAACACAAATCCAAACTAAAACAGGCAAAGGGTAACAAAAATACCAATATGAACAAAGAATATTTATATTCCTCAGAAGCAAGCTATTACAGTGGACAGGAAAATTTATGTGAGTCCAAGAATGAATGGACAGTGACTTGCTATAAGAAGTTCAGGCAAGAAATTAGGACACCTTTTACCATTTATGGAGTAAAGACATTCCAAAACTTGCCAAAAAGAGCAGCTCTTGGGAGAGGGGTAAATTTATGGCCAAGATCATGCAGTTTTTGTAATAGCCAACTGTATCAAGTCTATTATTAAGTTTCAATTGTTGAAAAAGAAATGTTGAATGTTTCAAATGTTGAAAAAGAAATAAAAAAGAAATGTCCCTGGATTTCCAGTAAGTCTGCATTCACGCAGGCTTGCCCAGCTTCCACCAGACAGCCTGTAGCCACAGAGAGACCCCAAAGGACAGAAAACAGAAGACCCAGAGGGCTTGGGTGGGTACAGAGTATTACTGTGCTGCTTGATACGATCACACAGCTAGCGCACAGGCTGTCTGCAAGTCACGTAAGTGAACAGAAAGTGGGCTGTAGGCAAAGCACACTATTCTCACTGTGACCCTAAGAGGTTGCACCTACATTGTAAAGTAAGACATGTAGCCAAAGATTTGGCAGGTCTCTTCAAGCTCTGAAGCATAGGATATTGCACAGTGTCAGAGACAGGATAACAGATCAGAGATGGACCCCAAGGGAAATTTCCTTGCCTTTAAAAGGAAGAGGTTCAAACAAACATTTTTCAGATTCCAATCTCCTCCTGTGAAATCCTAGCGCTAAAGAAACCACTAGTTTTGCCACAGACTTCAGGGAATTGAGGATTTCTCCCCTACTGATTTGAAAGCAAGTCCTGAGTGCAACTGTAATACAAACATAAAACCTTGTTATGTCACACTCTGGGCAGACATTTTCCTTCAAGAACTGATAACAATGTGTGTTTTTATACTGAAAAAATATTTAACAGATTAAATTTTCTTATAGAAACACAAGTTTATTGTTACAGAACAAAATGGTACCTAAACTGTATTTTAACGAAAGGATCTTCAAAGAACTGTATGTTTTGCATACAGATCATATATATAATTCTCTTGATGTTATTGTTATCAGCTCTTGAACAAAACTTTTAATGTTTGTTTCAACATCCTTCATTTTAAATTTTGCATAAACCAGATCCGTGCTTTCCCTCAATTTTACAGTTCTCTCCTGGGAGCGTCATAATGTCTGCATCTGGATTCCTTTTTTCCTTCAGATGAGAAAGGACTGATTGTCCTGGTACAGGAACGAACTTTGTCTCTCCTGGATATTGTCCAACAACACTGCCAGCACTCATGCCGTGCTGATGTATTACATGCAGATTTTACTCCCTGCCCTTCTTTTCAAGCCCTTCACAAAATAAAGCGTGACTACATTTCAACTATCAATGTAGTCTCTTTACACAGCACTAAATATCAGTAGCACAGAACATCAGCATATTACAGTTTTTAAATACAAAGTGAAATCTGCACAGTGCCTTCAGCTTTGACTTGTTTTTGAGACATTACAGAAAGTACTTCACTTCGAAAATCCTTTAATTCTGTAACTAATGAATAAAAGTTGTAGGGCAGAGGAGAAGTTAACTAACCAGTTTTATCTTATTTTTCTGAATGACTTCTTTGTTATCCTTCTGGTACAGTTCCATTTTCCTTTTGGTGTTCTCCAAATCCACATTGTTGGTCAAGTTATATACTACATAAATATTAGAAAGACAGAAAGCAAAAGCATTAGGTCAGCATGCATAACCATGACAAAGAAATAGTACTCTTATGTTCTCTATCCCTTCTAGTACCAGGTACAAACATTGCAACAACAGAATTTATTTAAATATGCCCTGTAAATAAAGACATAACCTGCTAAACACAACCTCAGTTAGCCAAGCTCCTTTAGGTTTAGACATCTGTAGATGACAATTTGAGTCTTACATCCTATTTTGTGATACTGATAATGATACACATGAATAATATTATTGTTCATAGTATCTGTAAAACATTAACCTTTTCAAGTAGCATTACAACTAAGAACAGTAATCATGTAAAATTAGACTAAACATACACATATTAAGACAAGGTTAGAAATTAAGTCATTTCATAAGATTATCTAATGCACAAAGACTAGAGACCGTTCAAATTCTCAGATACACAAAAAAATTTCATATTACTCAATAACTTAGAATTACTTTTATTATGCAGAATCTGCAGATGCATCCAGATGCATAGGTAAAATGACATTCTCTTGATATCCCTTCATACTGATAGACTGTATCTCACGTAAAATTATGAGCAAGCAGGGTCAGCCAGCAAGCTCCACAGTTTAGCACAACATTCCCAATTATCTACACATTGCACAGAAGATAACTCAAGAAATTGAACAGTTTCTATCATCAACAGCTTTAAAGATGTAGACGGTTTGGATGATTAGTAATTTGATACAATGCCTGAGCCTTCACCCCTAGGTCACTGGTTCAATTGTGGGTCAAGTGAATTCCAACTGAAAGCCATTATCACTGGGAAGTTGCTGGTGATCACCATTCAGAGTGGATGCTGGGCTCATGCCCATGACCTTAAAGCTGTCAAGACTGCAAACATACAGCACTCAAGGCCTTGAAGACGATTTGTCACATGGCTACAGTAAATCTACAAGAACAGCAGAGAGATTTGCCCAGCCATTGATAAATACCCTTTTGCAAGAAAGTGCAATCAATATGGCATCGTTAGGTCAAACCCTGAGGAAGAGAAAGAGGTTCTAGTGAAAACTAGCATGGGATTTGCGAGATTATGGTTCAGTTCCTTCCTCCTAGGTTTTCAGGCAACTAGGCCCAAATGAACCCTGGGCACATGCACTACTGCCAAGTCATTTGTATAAATATGGCTGCCAGAAAGAAATGGAAGGAAGCATGAAGTCTGTGGTTACTCATCAGGACAGCACATATCTCAGTTTGGTAAAGATTACATCACTTCCTTCATCCTCTCCACTCAGCAAAAATGAACTTTTAGAAGGGTTCTAGGTAAATTAAACCATGAATAGCCTAGTAAATCAGTTAACAACAGCAAAGAGAACAGCAAGAAATCAAAGCAGGGAGCAAATGGAGGTGGGCAGAGAAAACAGGATAGGGACATTTTGCTGAAGTTGTGGGATGCAGCTCAGTTCTCAAATCCAGCTGTACTGTTCAAAAGGGGCAGCCCTGCTCTTATGTCCCTCTTCCCAGGCATAAGCCTCACTCTTTCACCTGGTCTGACTCCAGGACACCCTGGATGCTTTGCAGTGTCAACAGACACCCTCCAGTAACCTGAACTGGCTCAACAAATGGGTCAGGCAAGTGCCAGAGGTGGTACAAGGGAAGTACTAAAAGCATACAGATGGGAATAGGAATACTCTCTTTTCAGGAGTACTGAACCACCATGTTGTCTCACTCTTACCAAATGTGCTCAGTCCTTCCTTGAACTGAACTAAAAGGGCAAGGCAAGATACAGCTGAAGAAATTCCTAACCTTAAGCAAAAAAGAAAAAAAAAAAAAAAAAAAAATCAACCCCAAAAGCTGTATTTATTCCCCCCTTTCTTTTCCAAATAATGCACACAATCAACAGGACTGACATTTTAATTGAGCCTGGCTCCTAAATCAGCTGAACTCCTCCACCACATCACCCTCACTTCAGCACTTCAGGAGGAAGATTTGAGATGGAGACTGGTTTTGCCGTTTAAGAATTTGAAAGGGTGCCAGAGTTCAATTTCCAGCTTCGCAACTGTTCTGGGGCAGATAACTGGCCCTCTCTACTGGAGGTCTCCCACCAATAAGAATCAGGAGTAGAGATATAAAGCTTCCTTATTCCTACACATCAACTGCTGTATCTCTGTACTGTAGGCATATGCAGCACCTATGCCCACAGTCTCGATCTCATCTCAGGTGGAATCTCTGGGCACTGCAGTAACCCAAACAAGCCATTCAAAGTTCAACTCCTTGGTCTCTGGAAACTACTTATCCATTTCAAATGTTTTAGGGGTTTTTGTTGTTTGTTTGTTTGGGAGGGTTTGGTGTTTTTTTTTTGTTTTGATTTTGGTCGGGTTCCCCCCCCCAAAAGGCATATTATTTTCCAAACTGACCTCCAAATTTCCATTTTACAATTACTAGATGACAAGCAGCTTAATATTTAGGCATTATGGCACAGAAGAATTGTCATGTGAAGATGCTGGCATACAATCAGACCAGTGCTCTGCAATGACAGCAGCTGCATGGGAATGTCAGCACTTTCTTAAATCCACACACCAGCTCTCTGAACTCTTCAGGGACGACACAAGAAAGAAATAGCATCTGCGAAATGCTGTGCTAGCAGGATGCCCAGATGCCACCTTCAGGTGCAAGGGGAGGAGCATGAGGAGATGCCAAATGCCTCTTCAGGCTCCTGAACATCTTCAGTATTTTTTTTTAAATAATCCAGCAATAAGCTGGATCTATCCAGGTTTTGCAACTATTGCTACTTGAAACATTCAAGGCTTTTCTTCTTCTCAGTTACCTTTAATAGGTTCAACTAGTCAAAACTTAGGTTTGCAAAACAAAAGCGGTAAGATTTAAAAGACATACTAGGGAAAGCAGGAAAGTTTTAAACATGTGCCAATGCCCGCCTTTATTTAGAGCTACTTACAGAAGCGGGTTTATTTTGCTACTTGATATGAAGTAACATTTCCATGTAAGAGATACATTTTTGCATCAATGTTTGAGAAATCTTCAGTAGCCACCTTAAACGCCCACTGCTCTACGAGCAGCAAGGTGAAAGTTTTATTTCCCCTTCTGTTTTCATCCTGTGGCTGGAACCAAACTACAGGTAAAACCCTCTGAACAGTTGCATCTGCTGATACCATGCTGATTCTGCTCTACTTATCTTACTCTACTCTGTCACTTGAGGATACCGCAGGAGATCAGCAATTAGAAAGATTCATACCTCCAGAACCCTCAAAGGCCAGAGTAAATTTCTCCCACTGAATATTGATTCATGGTCGTTGAAGAGGAACATTACTTTGGTCATCAGCATCTGTTCCTCAACACTAAGTCATCCACATTTCAGACTTCAAATACTGAAGAGCCACGTTTTGTTGCAACACTGTTAAGTAAGATCTTAAACCGCTGTATCAGCATCAGTATCAACAGCTGTCCTTTAATAACTGAAAATAGCATCTTCCATCCTACAATAAAAATGCCTGTGGTGGGAAACTTTTATGGGCTTTTGTTGTGCAGCTGTGGCAGAAAGTCTTCACAGGCTTTTCTCACATCTTTGCCAGGGCTTTTGTCAGGGGGGGTGCACCTGCCAGTTTTGCCAGAAATTTAAAAAGGGAACATTTGGAGGAATTATATTAAAAATAAAAAACACAACAAAACAAATTCTGAAACTAGAACCATAAAGAGTTAAAAACCCCTAACTCATATGCTACACCTATCCTGACAAAATATTGGTATAGATCTAAATATGACTGGCAAAGCAGATGGCTAGTTTGAAAAGGTTTCAAAGAGAAGCCAGACTTACTTTGTCCATGTTGAAATATAGCATAAGTGGCTGGAAGTGGCCTGAAACCCTTCAGGGAAAAGAAACAGAAGCTGGTTTGTATGTAACAATTATTTATCTACTTATCCATCTCACATTGGTTGGCCTATAAAATGACTTGCCTTGAGATAGCTGTTGAAGTATAACAGGAAGACTATTATGTTTTTCTGAAACATTTCATTCTTTTTAGGTAAAATTCACTGCTACTAAAATTCAGCCTCTACAGGGAGGCTTTCAGTGCTTTTTTAAAACAGCAACATTCATTATGCAATTCTACAACAAATGGAAAAAATCTAGTTAGAAAAAAGAAAATCAGACAAAAATATTAATTATATGGCACGCACAGTAATTTGTCTGGAGCCAGAGCACTACAAATGAATGTCACTCCACTGCAGGACTTTCAGTCCACCAAAATCCTAGTTTAGTCTGAGACACTGCAAATTTTCTGAGACTTCTCCTAGGTCCTTAAGAGACAACAAATATTTTTTACATGGTAACATTATTATTCAAACAGTCAGAATATACCCTCTCTGGCAAGATAGCAGATGATTACTCTGCTACAATGCAGATCTATTTGATCAGCATTGCTGGTATAAGCCAACTGAAAAGTTGAAAATTAGTAGTATCAGTTTATTATAAATGATATTCCACCTTACTACAAACAGCTCCTTAATTATGATCACCATAAATCGCCAGCTCTCACCCTCAGCCTGCCTGGGGAGCCCCGAGCTATTGTGGCACCTTTGGTTGGTGACTTGGATGCATGGTCCCTGCACTTTTAAGAGAAGTAGGAGAGGGGTGAGGGGGAGAAAAGATGAAATAGATTCTAACAGGTCCTTTCCAACTAACACTTCTGCGATTATAACAAAATAATTATCAGAAACAAAAGAAAACCCATAGCTAAGCCAGAAAAATCTAGTTAGGCATTAATAACTACTTTTGTTTATCCTCAGTTTTCTTTTATTGGGTAATATTCCAGAAAAATACCTTAGCATAGTAATAAATGAGATCACTTAGCCACACTAGTCTAAGAAAGATCATTTTGACTGGAGCAGTGTGATACCAAAATCATTGTACAGGTGAGACGACTGAAATCTACCTCTGATCAGGTCGCTCACCTTCCAAGCTGGGTTATTCTCATTGTCAGGACCAGCAATACCACCCTCATGTGCACACACAGAGGAAATAAACAAAATCACAAAACAATAAACAAAACCCACAAGTGATTATAGATACCGAAATTATTCCTACCCAAGGATCGGGTGTGAGATAAATGTTCCAAGCAAGACAAGTCACTAGGCAGCTGGTATTGCATAAAGTCATAGAGGAGTAATGAGATACAGGAATCCAAAGGGCACAAATACAGCAGCCTCGTTCCAAGTCAAATGCACTGAATGTTTTTAAAAAGCAATAATTACCACTAACAATTGTTTTGCGGTAATGCCTAGAGGCCTCATTCAGGTATCAGGAGAATGGTGCCAGGCAGTGTCTACACACATGCTCAGAGGTGGGTTCTGCTCTGGAGAGCTTACACGGAAAGGTTTTGAAAAACTGGCTATGAAGATACTTTGGGGAAGAAATAGAGAGTGAAAGAAACTCTTTCCTTGTAGAAAGAGTGAACAGAAGTTGCATTATGTCCAGAGATTATAACTTGTAACAACACTCTAAGGTTTAATCTTACCACTCTCATCATATGGGCATAAACCTGACTTACACCTTTCCCAAAGGCAGGTTTTAACCCTTTCATTTTATTTTTCTTCCTAATGTTAATGACAACAAACTGTGTTTACAATGTTCTCAAATTGTCCAACTGATTATAGTTTCTGGGGAAAACCTGCTTTAAAATGTGGTTTCTATTTAAAGCCTTGTATAACACATTTTAGCCCAAAGCATTATTTAGTGGCTACATTCTAAACCACTTCAAAAATGTGTTTTTTATAATAGAAATCTTAAGAGGTGACTACCCTAATGTTTGCTTGACCTTCACACACACACACTTCCGCTCTACCACCCAACTCTTTTCTTTAATTAGAAAAAGTCTGTAGGTATAACATGCCTGATATGAAGGGGGAAAAATGTGTTTCAAGTGAGGTCATATATCACGTCAATGGAGTAAGACAGTGCAATTACTGCAAATGTTGGATCTGACCTACCTGTAACATTTGGTAGAACTATCAGAACTGTGCTAGGATCATGTGTACTTATACAGGAGTTTACATTTTGTCTCTGCCAAGCAACTACTTCATATAAACCCCCACAACAACTTACTAAACGAAGCTTGCCAGTAAAGAGAAAACAAGGTAAAGCTGCACCTCACCCCTCCTACAAAAAAGCTGAAAGTCTGGGGAAAGGGGAGAAAGGGGAAGTGCAGCTCTCTGGCTCCCCAGCTTCCTTACCTGGTAGCTTCAACAACTGCCACCAGCCAACCTGCTGTACATTGGTCCCACAAGGCAAAACTTTGCACTGCATGACTATACCCTTTCTTTCCCATCTTCCAGCCTAATTTTTCACATGCAAACAGGGAATTCATATATTCAAAAAACATAAATAACTACTCTCAGCAGTAAAATGTGAAGTAACAATGCAAAGGCAACTTTAACACATCGTTCAGTCATACCATACGCAACATGCACAGCAGAGCCACTGGAAGAACTCTAATAACACAGTAATAGTGTTACAACTGTCAAGTGGAGACCTCTGTCCATGTGCACAAGCAGGGAAGGGCTTGGGGAGAACACGATGTGTGCAACGAGGTTTGTGACCAAGGAAAGAAGAACAAGGCTTGAATTCTTACCCTAGGTAGTGTTCTTGAATCTCACCTGTCCTCCAGCTTCCACATCTGCCTGAAGTTAGTACAGCATAAATGACCCCTTTGACAGTGGAAATTAAGAACCTCCTGACTGCACCCCTTCTTTCCTCTCATTACCCCGGCTGCTACATGAGGAAACTAGGAGGCAGTCAGACTTAACGCTCCTCTTAGTATTTTAGGCATCCCTTTCAGGCAACTAACTCCAATACCTAAATCTTATCTGCTGAGCTGCTTCACTGTGCATTTGCAGGGCCAGCACAATTATTGACAAATTCACTTTTCGTCACAAGGTTACAAAGACCAGCCATGATTTCTGCTGCTTCTAAATCAACTTACCAATGCTGGCTCTTGAACCATTTGAAATTTAACAACCTAATCCCAAGAGCTGGAGAACAGTAATATCTTGCACAAATAGATGCAGTTAAGGTAATTTCAAGTAAAACTTCAACTCCCTTGTTGCAGATGCTAAAAACCCCTGCAACAGCAGTAAGTGGGAAACCTGTACTTAATACTACATAAATAAGAAGCAGTTTTCCTTTTTATGAGCACAGAGATTCTTCCAGGATATTCTGGCTAAGATGCATCCATTTTTTCTACTCATTTCCTCCTTACCCCACACCCTCCAAAAAAATATGCAAACAGAACTACACCCACATCATCTCCTCCAGATAGTTGGAGCCATAAGAGTGCGCCTGGCGCTTCCCAGCCACACAATTTAGCTCTCCAGCCTCATCTTTCCGAGGCCAACAAAAACGGCATATTACTCACAGCAGTAAGTGTATTGGATACATTTCTACAAAACAACACAGTGCAAAGAGGAGCAAGGGCTCCTCTGAGAAACTGAAAGGGAGTGGCATCTCCACATTTTCCTTCAAATTACATTCACTGCTCCTTCTGCATGTTCTAAGCCACCTCTTCTTCCTCCAGGACACAAAAAAGGAGAAGCCTCAGAAGCTCATAAAAACAAGAAACAAACCATTTAGGAGTCACTCCTTTGAACACATCCTTGTTTTTCTAAGCAAAATCCATCACTCCACCATAGATCACATCACCCGAACTAAGAAGAAAATAAACTCTGTTGATAACATAGTCCTTTCCCCAGAGGGCAAAGTTCTGCTTCAACAAATCCAAAGAGAAAGAAATCAATGTCTGTTCCTAAACCTTCTCCTTCTGCACAGCAACATAAAATGCTACCACAGTGGTATGTAAGGTCATCAGCTTCAAAGCAGCTTCAACTACTGTACTTGCAGAAGCAAAAATGATGAAAGACACCATATGGCTTCTGTCATGGTAGATAAAGCTAATGGAGGCATATAATGAAAATTTCAATTCCTCTTCTCTGTTTAATCTTTCCCAGCGCAGCACAGACAGTGCCCTGCAAGCCTTTCCTTTCCAGATATAAAGCACCGATTCCTCTTCAAAACATGTTTTTTTTCCTCTGGCAGATTAAAATATTTTACTTAATGTCCTACAGTTCAGAAAATATGATTAAAAATGTACAGAAAAAGGTAATTAGATAAACATCTGATACTATGATAAATCCTATTACAGAAATTCAACTTGGACATTCTCATAGGTAGCTGAGTCAGAAGGTAAAAAGCTATGGTCTCATGAGCACAGCACATCAAAAATGCAAGCATCAAGACTTACCAATTTCTTCTATTTCTTCTAGGAAATCATTATATTCACTTAGACTGGGAAAGTCATCCTCTCTTTTATTGTATCTTTGAGAGAAGAGAAACAAGTTATTTATAGAAACACACAAAAATGTGATTTCAATTCAGTAAGGCTCTTCATGAAAGCCTATTAAGTATTGGCCTATTTTTACCAACAATGTGCTTTGCTGCTCCCACAACTGACCAACAAATAGAATCCTTAAGAGGAGACAGAAGCATTTCTTTTAAAGGAAAGGACCCAGCCTGGCATAAACAGGTGCTATTGTTGCCTCCTAATTGACAACTCCTTTTCCAGGGTTACATGTAAACAGAAGAACAGGGACTAGAATACCCTAGTTCCAAGTCAGCCCTTTAACACAAGAAACCTGTTAAGAATGCCAGAGGCAACAGTAACACCCACAAGAAAAGCTTTTCTGTAAGTATTAGAAAAAGGAGCTTGGCTTTGCACCAACAACAGAAAGCATGTCAGCAGCAAACTGAAAATGCTACACACTCATTGTGTATCAATAGAACATTCCAGAACTCATTTATCCAATATTTGATAGATGGAAAAATTAGTAAGATGAAGGGACAACTGGCTAGAATGTGAACAGCCTCTCAAAGTCAAAACTTTGGGCTTTCTTCCCAAGAAAACATAAAGCTGAGATTCTGCCTGGTCTGTGGAGCAAGACACATTACACCAGGAGTATAAAAATCTAAACCCGAGTACTCCGCCCAAATTCCAAACTGGGGACATTTTTTCTGCCTACTAAAAAGTATTCTGTCAAATCCAAGTGAACCAAGCATTTTATAATACTTTCTGTTCTAACTATATTTCATAATTAGTCAACTAAGTTGACTTCATCCCAGCTTGACTTTTAACTTCAGTAGACTTTATCAAACACGAAAACTATTACTACTTTTCCCATCACCATGTTGGTAGTCAACAACAAAATTTCCCCACATCTTGGCAGTATCATACAGAATTGCGGAATCATAGAATGGTTTGGGTTGGAAAGGACCTTAAAGATCATCCAGTTCCACCCCCCCTGCCATGGGCAGGGACACCTTCCAACCTGGTCTTGAACACTGCCAAGGATGGGGCAGCGACAGCTTCTCTGGGCAACCTGTGCCAGTGCCTCACCACCCTAACAGGAACGAAATTCCTTATATCTAACCTGAACTTCACCTGTTTAAGTTTAAACCCACTACCCCTTCTCCTATCACTACAGTCCCTAATGAAGAGTCTTCTTCAGCATCCCTGCAGGCCCCCTTCAGATACCGGAAGGCTGCTATGAGGTCTCCACGCAGCCTTCTCTTCTCCAGGCTGAACAGCCCCAACTTTCTCAGCCTGTCTTCATACAGGAGGTGCTCCAGTCCCCTGATCATCCTCGTGGCCCTCCTCTGGACTTGTTCCAACAGTTCCATGTCCTTTTGATGTTGACGACACCAGAACTGCACACAATACTCCAGGTGAGGTCTCACGAGAGCAGAGTAGAGGGCCAGGATCACCTCCTTCGACCTGCTGGTCACGCTCCTTTTGATGCAGCCCAGGATACGGTTGGCTTTCTGGGCTGCGAGCGCACGCTGAAGCCAGCTCATGCTCATTTTCTCATCGACCAACACCCCCAAGTCCTTCTCCACAGGGCTGCTTTGAGTCTCCTCTCCACTCAACCTGTAGGTGCACTTGGGATTGACCCGACTCAGGCGTAGGACCTTGCACTTGGCTTGGTTAAACTGCATAAGGTTGGCATCGGCCCACCTCTCAAGCTTGTCAAGGTCCCTCTGGATGGCATTCCTTCCCTTCAGCATATCAACCAAACCACATAGCTTGGTGTCATCGGCAACCTTGGTCAGGCTGTCACCAGCCACCTCATTGTTTTTCATGTGCCCTAGCATGGCTTCCAGGAGAATCTGCTCCATGATCTTGCCAGGCACAGAGGTGAGACTGACTGGTCTTTAGTTTCCTGCATCTTACAATTCATTAAGTATTGTGCTAAGCCTTAGATAAATGCTGCCAAGCTTACAATTTACCTGTACGTACATTTTTGCAGACACAAGTCTCCCCAGGTTTGTTAGGCTGCAGACCCTCTTCCACCAAAACATCAACTGGCTTACTTATTTTACTTATAAAACATCATTTTTTAGCCACAGAACGTGAGATGCAATTTTACACCTCATTTGTCTCAACTCCAAGAGCTCTCAAATCTGCATGACAGAGTAGTAACACAAGGCTCCTAAGGAAGCATTTCATTACTAGCATTTGCTGTGTGAAGTAGAAAACAATGTGAACATAGCTTCTCTTGTCAATTTTGTTTTGAAGGGAACTGGCCATCAACTCTGAGAACATATCCCCAGGAATTAAACCAATCAAGGGCCTATTTCTTGCCCCACTCCCATGTTCATCTCCTCAAGGGGAAAGCAATATCTAATCACCTCCATTTAGGAGGCAAGTCTTCACCAAAGAAGGCCACACAGAAACACCCAACATTCTCTAATGCTACACAGGAATCCCTCAAGGCTACACTGAGAATTCAGTTGTTGCATAAAATCAGATTCTCTGAAATTCCTCTATATTAATTAAATGGATTCAGTTTCATGGGTCGTCACTTCAAAAAATAAATTATCTCATCTTTTCTTCTAGAAGTAAGTTAATTTTTTTAAATGGTGATTCATGCAATACATCCGCCTTCTGTTCTTTTAACTGGTGATACTCACATTTTCAGCACTTTCTTCCTAATTTCCACTTCCTTGTCAATAGCAGGATCCTCAAAGAGCTGTACCCTGAAGTTACTTTTTCGCAGAAGGGTATCACACTCATGGCAATTCCCAGCCCCTCTCACAAACAGCAGTTCCACACAGCTCTCACATCTGCGGGAGAAAGGAAGGGGTATAAAGGCAGATGCATGTTAAACAGTAACTGAAACACAGGATCGTTCCCTTTACGTGTTGTTTACATACACACTATAAGGATTAGTGCCAGTGCTTCTCTCCTCGATTTCACTATTTCTCCAGCACCCAACAGTGGCAAGGAGGCAAGGGAGCTCCAAACTGGCTGAAAGAAAACAATCTCAGCAGTGCAAATGCATTTATTCTCCTTGCCCCAAACAACTCTGCCTCTTTGCTGAGACCAAAAATTAATCCAAACACAATGATGGGGTTTGTGTCAAGGGCAAGCTTGTTTAGTGACACCATCAGATTCATTTCACGTGGACCAGATCACAATATCCTTATTTACTCTGCGTACTACCTTGCTGCACAAAAAGCCCCATTTATTGTTTTTATGCCATTCACAGTGCAAGGTACTATTTAGCAAAAGCAGCAATACAAGTATTGCCGCAGCCTTTCAAGAATCTACCAGTAGCACCACACAGGAACTGCTGTAACAAACCTAAGATAAACTCCAGCTTAACACAGCTAGAAGAATTCAAATACCATTTTAACCAGCAACGAGCATTATGCAGCTCTCCTGTGCCTTCTGTTACCACTTTTTAAAATTACACATAAAGTATACTTTACACAAAGGCTGCACAGAAATAAACCAAAAATACCTTTCTGCTTTTGTTTCTTTTCTCTTAATGAAGATTTCAGATTTTAACAAGATGTCTGCTGACTAGCCAAACTGGCATTTAATAAAGGAAGAACACAAAACAAGAAAGTTCACTTTTTTAAAAGAAAGTACTTAGGTACTAACAAAGTGTAAATTTCTAGCAGAGGACAACACCTGCTGCAGTCATTTCCTACTTCAGGGGAGGCAAGAGACTCCCTATTTATAGCTTTGCTATATTGAAGCCAAAGTAGTTGTACATTAAGGGCTGAGCTATACGATACGTCCACCAACCCAGCACAAAAGCTAAACAAGTTCAGAGAAACAATACTGATATGGTTGCAAAGGATGTTAACCAAAACTTTCACTCTGCTGACCTACCTCCAACTAAACTGGTTGCAGTACTTACGGAGGCAGAGCTGGCTAGGATCAACCAGTTTTACCCAGCTTCTGTTTTCAAGATTAGAAAGTGCAAAACACAATTGTATCTTACAATTAAAAAATAAAATAGAGCTTTTTTTTTTGTTAATACAAGTAGAACTACAGTTTCAAAACGCACAGCAGCTGCCAACGCTAAAGAGCAAACCTTGAAGTTATTTTGATGTTTTTCTGCTCCAGAATTCCTTTAGTTAGAAAACTAAGAACATTTAAATGCGATTTATCTAGGAAAGAAAAGCTCAAACCTTTTAGCACACTAGGCCTGAAATTCAGAAGTTACTGAACAACAGCTCAAGATACAAGCTTTATGCAAATCATTTAGCTCACTGTTATGGGAGAAGCAGCACTAAATGCAAGAGAGAAGGCAAGGCAGGGAAAGGGTTTTCTCCTTCCTCCCCTAACACGTCTGTGCATGCAACAGCAGTACATAAGGACAGTTTCATGGTCTCCATTTTGGCAGCTTGTGCTGTTTATGTGTCTCTCTGAACACAGCAGCCAAAGCACAGGGAGGAAAAAAAAGGGAGTACAAACCTACAGAACTTGGCAGGTGTCTGTATTGGGGTTTTTGGTTGTTTGGGGATTTTTTTTATCATTGTGTTGCCTAAGGACCAACAATACAGGGTCTCCGTGTGCAGACGTTATGAAACCACTTCCCTGCTCCCCTCCCCTATATCAGAGACATTTCAAGTTTACACAATACTTGACCATGGAAAGAAAAACCCCTCCTTGGAAGAGCACTTAGCACTTCGTACAAGTGCTTCAGTGTCTTCCCAAACTGGAGCCAGTGTTTCTAAGGCTGGAAAACAGCTTTCCATGAATAAAAACAAAAAAAGAAAAAAGATGAGTTAACTCCTCACAATGGGAACCGTGTGTCTGGTGATCCCATTCTCACTCATTCACACCCACCCTCATATTTATTCGTTGGTAATTCCTTCTGAATTCAAAGGGTTATATGGGACAAATCAAGGGCAGACCTGGACTTTCTCCAAATCCTGCCTCCTCTGTATCTCCAGATAGATTTAACACACACAGATCCCAAGCTTACTTCTTAGCAAGTCTGTCATCCTCACCTCAACAAACTGCAGCTGCTTTTCCAGTGATGGCAAATGTGTTTGGCCACACACTTCCACCCAATTCTTGAGAAAGGAAAAAACACATCTCCTGAATCCTTCTGAAACAAGTGCTACAGACCACTGAAGTCAGAGCAGATGCAAACACTAGGAAGGCAGATTTCAATAAAGATGGGTTTAATAAATTGTTTCATGTCTTGAAATAAAGATTTCAAAATATGACTAAAAAAAAACAAACCAAAAAACACCTCACACTGTAAAATTTAAAAGTACAGAATAACTTCCTCCCCCCCTTTTTTAAGCAATTTAGATGACTTCCCCAAAGACATCCAACCCATGCAACAGCCAAGACATCCCAGGCAGCAGTGGGGGATACCCCAACACTACTGCTGACAGCTCCCACATCATGCATAAACCACATCAATTCAGGGGATTCTTCCATTTTTTTGCAAGTCCAACCCTTCTCATTCGCCTTAGTGTAAGGACAGTCTGAATATGGAAGCAGGACATCATTCAGTGCAACTTTTACTGGACAATACATCACATACAGCTTTCCCCAAATAAGCACTGCACCAAACCACCTGCTTAATTCCCTTGCAAACATGACCACATTTTCTTAAATTGGAAGCCTTAAATCAGCAACGTTTATATGCATATATATATTAAATGCATATGCATATATGCTGCACATAGAAACCAATGGTGACAAATGTTCATACTTAAAAAACAGGCACATATATTGTTCACTATTATTCAATACTGAGTATACAGCTTTACATGAAGTCTAAGCAAGCACTCAGGGTACAATACTGTCAATTCTCCTCTTCACACTGAGGTTGTATGGCCTCTGTGATCTGCGTTATATTTCACACATTCACTAAAATCTTTCATTATCTTTTGGATTTAAGTTTTTACTCTGATGTATTGGGTTTGCATGGAAAGGTTTTGGAAGCAGGGTGGCTACATGGGTGGCTTTTGTTAGCAGCTGCCAGAAGTTTTCCCCATGTCAGATGGAGTCAGTGCCAACAAGCTCCAAGACAGACCCACCACTGGCCCAGGCTGAGCCTATTAGTGACAATGATAGTGTTTCTGGGATAATGTATTTAAGAAGGGGGAAAAGTTACTACACGAGAGCCACAGCAGCCAGGCAAGAGTAGCAGGAATAAACAAGAGAAACAGTCCAGCAGACATCAAGATCACTGAAGAAGGGGAGGAAGCACTCCAGCCACTGGAGCAGAGGTTTCCCCACAGCCCATGGTGAGGCAGTATATCCTCCTGTCTCCTCTTGTCCACCGTGGAGGTGCATGGTGGAGCAGATCTCCACCTGCAGCATGGAGAAGACCCCATGCAGGAGCAGAGGGATGCCCAAAGAAGGCTAGGACCCTTGGGAAGCCTGCACTGGAGCAGGCTCCCAGCAGGACCTGTGGCCCCATGGAGAGAAAAGCCTGCACTGGAGCAGGTTTGCTGGCAGGAGTTGTGACCCCATGAGAGACCTATATTGGAACAGGGGAGAAGTGTGATGAGTCCTCCCCTGAGGAGGAAGGAGCAGAGTCGTCTGGATGCAGATATTAATAGAAAATGCTCAGGGAGTTACATATGCATGGCCAACAGGGGAAGACTATAAGCAACATCACCAACAAAAGCAATCACAACACCTCAAGGAACAATAAAGTCTCCTGGTCTAGCACATCAGGATAATAAACATGAGCATGCTCATTTTCATTTCCATGGACACTGGTTTAAGCTCTCTTGTTCTTCTCTTTCATCCCCATGAAATATTAAAACAAATGGCTCGGTCTCTAAGCAGTCTAAAATGACACCACATTTTTGAAAGCATCTAGATGGTTTGTAGTGCACAAATAGCACTATGTGTCCTCTTGTCAGTGTTCAAGGACTTCAGGATAAGGATCGGACTAAAAATGTTTTTGGTACACTGCAGAAAACAAGCAGAGGTTCCTCTCCAGAAAACTGTTAGATATTTAACAACTAAATTACACTTACTGGAACTGAGTGTTTGTTTTGGATAGTGTCTCCAAAGGGTACAAGATACGTGCCCTGCATTACCTACACATGGGCACACAGACGTTGTAGAGGTGTGATTTCAGATAAGGAATCAAGCCTCCAGAACACTGACTGGTTGAAAATGGCTCAAAACATTAGCATAGAATCACAGAATCATAGAATAGTTAGGGTTGGAAAGGACCTTAAAGATCATCAAGTTCCAACCCCCCTGCCATGGGCAGGGACACCTCACTCTAAACCATATCACCCAAAAAGCCTCATCCAACCTGGTCTTGAACACTGCCAGGGATGGAGCATTCACAACTTCCTTGGGCAGCCTGCTCCAGTGCTTCACCACCCTAATAGGAAGGAATTTCCTTCTTATAACCAATCTAAACTTCCCCTGTTTAAGTTTGAACCCATTACCCCTTGTCCTATCACTACAGTCTCTAATGAAGAGTCCATCCCCAGGATCCCTATAGGCCCCCTTCAGACACCGGAAGGCTGCTATGAGGCCTCCACGCAGCCTTCTCTTCTCCAGGCTGAACAGCTCCAACTTTCTCAGCCTATCTTCATACAGGAGGTGCTCCAGCCCCCTGATCATCCTCGTGGCCCTTCTCTGGACTTGTTCCAACAGTTCCATGTCCTTTTTATGTTGAGGACACCAGAACTGCACACAATACTCCAGGTGAGGTCTCATGAGAGCAGAGTAGAGGGGCAGAATCACCTCCTTCGACCTGCTGGTCACGCTCCTTTTGATGCAGCCCAGGATACGGTTGGCTTTCTGGGCTGCGAGCACACACTGAAGCCGGCTC